AGGGCTGGGACAGAGATCTGAGACCGCTAAAAAGCCTTGAAAACTCTGTCCTCTGCCTCTCTGAGCCACAAGAAACACTTCAGAAAACAAGAATTATTTCCAATATACTCCCTGTAAGCAAATACCATCCGTTTAATTTGACTGTGATTTGTATTTGTGGTCCCAAATATCCCTTAACAGAATGTAGGAGAGAATTTAAAGGAGTCAGCTTTGTAGAATTTCCTCGATTTCTAAAACACATCAAATGCTCAGAGATAGTTTGGCAGTAAAAGCATTTGCTGAAAACTTGGCCAGGTTTTCTTGGTATTTGCCCTAATGAAAGCATTTCAGGTGGAGGAAAAAAATGTGCAGATTCTTTTCCATCCTGCTTTGTTTCCAAGCTCCAGTGCCCCCATGGGGGACACAGACTGCTGGGACCCTGGATTATCCTGGTAAATATATGTACAGGCTCCCCTCAGGACAAGCTCTGCTCTGAGGGGTCTTTTATATGGATTCTCTAAGTGTAAACAACATAAAACCTCCCAGACTCCAAGCTATTTTAAACTATGTCTCTTTTAATGTGGGAGAAATTATTCTGTTTAAAGGAACCTGATTTAAGAACGTGCCTATTTTGGGATTATTAGCCACATATACATGTTCCCCTTCCACTGAAAACAAACAGTCCCAGGGTATAAAAATAGGCAGCTAAATGAAGTGCAGGCTTTTCTAGCGTGGGAAATGTTTGTTGAACTTGCATTCTGGGTTTGATTACTTTGAAATGTTTAAGGAGAGAGCGATTCAAAGCAGTGCCCTTCAGATTAAAGGTGAAATGTATGTAAGCTGAACGTTCCACATCCAGCAGCGTTTCAGGTGAGAATCCAAGAGAGCATCAGGAATAGCCTTTGCTACTATTCCATAATCATCAGGGACTACAATCTACTGTGAGTGTTTTAAAAAAGGCTGAGGTGACAAAAATCAATGCAGTTCACACAAAGCCTCAAACAAGGCTGACACCCAACGGCAGCTTCGTGCACTGCTGAGGGTTCGCTGCTTCCCAAAAAAATCACGTGTTGCTAAACGGCACGTGGTGAATACATATCCTGATTGTAGAGTACTGCCCTCAGTGTCCAAGGCTGATCCACCCCACACAAACCCTCCCTCTGATTAACTGCCCACCAGACACCCTGTAATTCAAGGAAATGTTAAATAAACCAGGCTTCACCACAGAGCAGGAACGAGGAGTTCCTGTATCTCAAAGCAAACTGACTTCTGGAAATGGTAAAGGCAGAATCCAACAGGATTTTTCTCTTCATAAGTCCTAGAGATTAATAAATCGATTTGCAAGACCACTGGTTTTTTCTACTTTCTTCCTTTAGTTACTGAACTAGGAGAGATGTTCCGATCTTATTTTTCAGTGAAGAGGAAGGG